ACTGATCACAAACTCTTTGAGAGCAGGCTGATGTTTACCCACTTCTGTCACCTCAGTGCCTAACATTATGTAATGCCATGAATAAAGGAATGAATTCAACAAGGAAAGAAAAGTGAAAATTTCCTCCTGCTACATGTCAAGCATTGTGCAAAACAGGTACCATAGCATACATGTCCATTTAATCCTTAGAGTAAACCTCCGATGGTCATTGCTTAATCAACAAATACTGCCTGAGCCCCTATTATATGCCAGGTTTGATACTGGCCAAAGGATAAAAAAGACAAGACCTCATTTCTCTAGAAATTTGCCATCGAGTAGGGAAGAGAAGACTTTCTTTTCTTATATAATTTATTTTATTTTTTTTATTGTCTAAAGTTTTACATATGTCTCCTTTCCCCCAATTGACCCCCCCTCTTATACAATTCTTAAAAAATTGACATTTAATTCACACAACATCAAATTCACCCACTTAAAATGTATACTTCAGTGGTTTTTAGTATATTCCCGAAGTCATGCAACCATCACCACCAGACAACATATTTTTTATCTGTATAAACAAAGTTATGGCCCTAGCTGGTTTGGCTCAGTGGGTCCTGGGTTCGATTCCATGCAAGGGCACATGCCTGGGTTGTGGGCTCCATCCCCAGTAGGGAGCATGCAGGAGGAAGCCAAGCAATGATTCTCTCTCATCACTGATGTTTCTATATCTCTCTCCCTGTCCCTTCCTCTCTGAAATCAGTAAAAATATATTTTAAAATAAATAAATGAAGTTCTGTGTGTATCTTGGAGTCAAATCAGAGGAGGAGGCAGGAGTTTATCAGGGGAATAAATGCATTCCAGGGGAAGGGAGCAGCAGAGCTGTGAGATGGCCCAGTATATGAAAAACAAGAAAAGTGCAGGAGAGACAAAGTGTACAGGGAGGAAGTAGGTTGGGCTATTTTACAAGTGAGGAATCTGAAGCTCAGAGAGATGAATGAACTCAACTAAGGTCAGACAATTTCTCTTTTGCCGATTCAAGCAAAGGTATCTAAAAGAGATCACCCTACCACTGAATCGTTCCCAATGAGCAAGCAGGGGCTGACACCACCCGATATTATTTTCTTCTCAAACAGTACAGCAAATGAGCTTCATTTTCCTGAATACTCCTTATATTACCTAGAAACATTGGCCATAATGACCACCATCGTTAGTTGAACAAAAACATTCCCACCACAGTTTAGCAGATTCAGAAGGTTATGCTATCAGAAGGAGCTCTGTCCACAGACAACAATGTTTTGGTCATGAAAGTCCGAGACAAAGCCTTAATATTTCATTGGCTCATGGTAAGCTAAAATGTGCTTGCTCGGCAGGTTTCAAGTCCTCTGTATGACCATGAAGAAACGGTTCTACTTTCTTACCACTCAGTTTTCCTACCTGCAAAGTGATATTACTAGATCTTGCCCCAGCTACCTTACCACCATTCTGCCCAGAAGAATCATTGGGAAAGCAGGAGGATCTGTACTACCTTTGAAACTCTTGAGGAAAAGGTCAGTTAATACATGCTTTAAAAAGTAATATGCCTACTACAAGAATGTCTCCAAAATCGGACCTCAGTTGAACATTTATAAAATCTTGGTTTATTAGGTTTAAATTTAGTCCAGATCAATTTCCATTTCATCTCTGGGATGGAGGTAAGAGTTAAGGGAACTCAGGAGAAAACAGATAGAAAATAAAGTTTTGTCAGGCAGGGGAAATGACCTCTGGATTTCTGGTTTTGCATTTGGAGGCTGTCCTCTTGTTGTCCCCTACCCTCCTCTCTCTCCCAGGAGAAGAAACTGTGTGGATGCTACAACTCAGAGGTGTGGTGGAAACATGTCCTCCATCATCCTTACCATTCAAACCCTTCTGCAGCACCACTGTTTACAAACCACCAGCAGGGTGAAATACACAAATTACAGCAAAGAGCAGTTATTTCTCAGGAAAAAAAGTTTGAATGTGACCTGGTGAAACAGGGCAGAAGAGTTCACCAGAAGCCACCTCTGCCAAGAATCCTTAGATGTTTGCTGCCCACTAGAGAACCCATGCTAAAATGTTTGTGGTTTTGCAGAACCAAGGAGTTGACATATCTGAAAATATTCTACAACAAAAAAGTTTTACTAACCTTTCAGAGAAGAATGAGATCAATGATCCCTGCCGCTCTCTCGTCTCTCTTTTAGAACTGAATTACTGGATAGAAAACGTGCAAACATAAAGGTGACCATACCAGTTAGGGCAGCAGTTCTCAACCTGTGGGTCGCGACCCCTTTGGCGGTCAAACGACCCTTTCACAGGGGTCGCCTAAGACCATCCTGCATATCAGATATTTACATTACGATTCATAACAGTAGCAACATTACAGTTATGAAGTAGCAACGAAAATAATTTTATGGTTGGGTCACAACATGAGGAACTGCATTTAAAGGGCCAGAAGGTTGAGAACCACTGAGTTAGGGCATCTGTGTTACAAATCTGATGATAGTTACCCCCTCCCCCAGTCTGCTGAAGTTTATGCACACAGCAGTTTTCATTTGTGATTCTCCACTACATTTTAGTAGGGAAGCATCCATACCCCGCTCATCTATTAGTTTGGGGAAAAATGGCCACTCCCAACTTCTGGAGCAGTAAAATCCAATTCCTTTTCTAGAGAGAGGAAATATGTTAATATTTGAAACCAAAGCAACTGCAAATATGTAGGTGAGAATAAATACATTGTTTCCTCCTCTGGATAATTACTTAAGGAGTCTCCTTCCCCAAAAGAAAGTATTTTAAAGCTCGCAAGTTTCTGGGGGAAAGAAAAAAAAGCACCAAGTGCTTGTCCACTGTGTCTCAACACACTACTGTTATCCTTCATGTAGCCCTTACACCAATCCTGCCAAGGGTTGGTTGTTCTATCCTCTTTTTATAGACGAAGAAAGCTAGGCTCAAAAATGCTGGAACATTCCAGGATACACAGCTGGGGGCAGAGGGGAGGAAGATCTGAGCCCTAAGCAGATAGGCCTTGCACCTGACCGTGTTTTCGGGACAAGAATCACCTGGCAGTACTTGTGGAAAATACAAAATCCAGGGTCACAGTCAGTCTTTAGGGTCCAAGGAACGTGTTTTTTCTTTTCTTTCTTTCTTAAAGAACCATGCTCCCTCCACCCCTCATCAACAGGAAAGCTTGGGAAAGACAGTATTTCACAGCCCAGCCAGGAGATTCGAACCCGTTCCATCCCTACACTTGCGGCTTCTCCACCAAGAGACCCCTTAAAAAAAACACTCATATTTCTTCTGTCAAACCACCTCTCCTAAGCCCCTCCACCCAGCCCAAGTCCAGATCTTGGAATCTCCTTCTGTCCCTTCACCTCTGAATCCTGCCAATTTTTTTCTTTCTTGTAATATTTCATTTCCTGGCTGGGAATGGGCTCTAACCAGCAGACTTCCAGCGGGGCCTCTGAACTCGCAGCGGTCTCCAGTCGGTCTGGCTCCTTCCCAAGCCCCTCGGCTCGGGCAGCTCTCATCCCAACCCTGCCTCTTCCGTCGGTCGCGTTTGTTCCTCCTCTTGCAAGGACCTCTATCCTTTCCCGGCCCTTCCCATGTTCGGGGAACTCCTACACAGCCCGAGCGCCTCCGCTCCGGCTCTGGGACTGAACCCTGCCTCGCAGCGAGCTTCGTCCTCCTGGCCGCAGCCCCTGTCCCCTCCCCGCTCGCCTCCCCACCCGCCACCTGGCTTCGCCCCGGCAGCCCCGGGAGCCATCGGCACTTCCCAGAATAGAGAGCAGCTGCTAACGTCAGGCTGCCGCCCGCTGCGGGGTTCCCGGCGCACCGGGTGCGGGCGGAGGGGATGTGACTCTGCTCTGGCCTTCCGTCCCCCAACCCGGGCCGGGAAACTGAGGCCCAAGGCCAGGGGAACTTCCAGGGGGTGCAGAGTACGTGAGGGCCGACCGGTCCAGAGCCCCAGTCGTCCCGACTCCTGTCCGCGATCCCTCGACCACACGCGCCGCTGGAGAGCTGGGCGGGGAGCGGGTCTCGGAGCGAGCGCTCCGCCCGGGAACGCGCAGGGCGCCAGGCTCGACCAACTCGCCGCGAGAGAAAGTTGTTGTCTCCCAGCCTGCACTCGCCTCTCACCTCTGAGACACACCTTCCCGCGGGCCCTGGCACCCGCGCTCGCACATCCGGTCCACCTTGCGCACACCTCTTTCGCACACCCCTTTCCACGCGCTCCGTACGGCCCCATCTCGCTCCCAAGTTCCGTAGCCGGCTCCCCCGAGCGTCCCCTTTGCGGACTCAGACCTCCCAGGGGCGGGCCTCACCGTCTCGAGGATCACCGGGGCTCTCACAGCGACCCCAGGCGTCGTGGCGCCCTGGAGCACCGATCTTGGGCCGCTGACCCCTTACTCCCCGAA